ATATATTAAATATGTACAAAAATAAAATATTTAATATTTACAAAAAAAAAGTATATTTTTTATAAAATGTTTTCAAAAGATAAAATAAAATAAAAATTAAAAAATAAATGTATTTATATTATTTTTTTAGTTATTTTAAATGAAAGTATATTTATGTTTATTTACATATATACTAAATGAAACAAATAAATATCAAATAAAATGCAAAAAAATGTGAGAAAAATAATTTTAATGTTTTTTTATATTTAAATAAAAATATAGAAACAAAATCAAAAGGAAAAAATTAAAAATGACAAATATATCTCAAAATGGGCCAGGGGGGTGCATGTGTAAAACAGTGGTGCAAAAAGGAAAAACAACATAGGCCCACCCAAAGAGGTTGTCTTCGACCTCCAGCAACAAAAATGTCCAAAACGCGCGCCTTTCCCACCTGGTTCAAACATCCTGATTCCTGGACTTTTAGCACAAACTTATAACATGAAAATGTCAAGCATCAAGCCACGATTCCATACATACCAAGAACTTGATCTAACTCTCAGAAATGAGAGAGAATTTCTCCATCCCTAATTCTTAACCTAAGTTTTCTCTAATGTTCAGGTTCCAAATTCTCTCAGCACATGCAATATAAATGGAAAGTAAATATATGTGTAGCTTCAGGGCCATGGGTAGAGCATTTTTCATTCATAAACCTAAAGCTAACTCTTCCTAGATTGAGAGATAGAAGTCCATGAACTTACCTGTTTATCTTGGATCGTGTCTGACAATGGAGGCACTTTCAAGGCAATGTGAGGACTTGTACAGCTTGCTTGAAGTTCAGGGATGCTTCTCCCACCTTTAGCTTGCTTTGAAACCAAATGAATCAAGCTATGGAAGTCAACCTGCAAAACAGAGAAAGTGAAAATGGTGAAGTTGGTTAGAGGTGTTACAGGTTGTGTCCAATGCTTGGGATAGTTTTTATAGGTGGTATGGAATGTGTATGAACTGGTTTTGGCCAAGGCGCACGAATAGATTGAGTTATGGAAGTCCAACTGCAGAGGTGACTCTGTTTTTTGCAGTAGGAGGGTGTTTTGATGAATGATGAGGTTTGGAAGGTGGTTAGCTCGTGCCTTAGCTTAGGTTTGATATTTGGAATTTGTTTAACAAGTTTACTTTGGCTTGTGGTTGCAGCAAAGAGAGTTCTCGTTCAAAATGCAAGGTTTCTTCTCACTTAAGCAAAAATTGTCAAGTGCTGTTACAGGCTCCTCTAGGCCCCTCAAATGTGCTGCAAAGCTTTGTCTTGATCAGTGGGATCTGTCCAATAGCTTGTGCCTAGAAGATATGCATTGTACCTCTTGATTTGCAAACTTGACATAAAGTTGCTCTTTACAAAAATGGATAATTTGCTTTTTCTAATTAAGGACTAATCCTTCATGTAATGACCAAACTCATAGAATAACATCTTGGCACAATGGATTAGCATTTAATTTTTTAGTGTAAATGAGATTAGAGGCCTGTAATGTAGCTTGCATATGCTGAGTTGAAAAATTGCACAAGTTATGAACATGGAAATGGCTCATGAACAAAGTGACTTTTGCCCATATTGCCAAATTCGATTCTCCCTAACCACAAGGGTGTTTGAGAAGTTCTTGGACATTTTGGAAATCTTGGAATGTGTACTACAATCCATCTTTGTAATGCAAGTTGAAATTCCAAGTGGAAGCGTGTGAAAAGTGGCCATGAAGTTAGGCAAAAATCCTGCCTAGAATAGGTCAAAAATTTTCTAAGTTAAGAATGTTTTGCACCCTTGTTCCAAAAATCATAACTTGAGCTACAAGCTTCTTTTGAGGAAACTTTGTGAATCAAAGTTGTAGATTTTGCAATGGACTATAACTTTCATGTTTTGAGTTTTCCTTGAATCCAAATGTATCTTGATGAAAAAGTGGGACAAAGTTAGGAAAAAATTAGGGATTTTTATAACTTAGAAAATTTCTAAGTTATGAAAATTCTTCATTTTAAACCCTAACTTTGCAATTCTTAATTTCTTGATGAACAAGTTTCATAATTTGACATGTTTTTGATTAAAAATGAATCTTGACACTTGATTTTGATCAAAAAGTCAAAGTTTGACTTTTCAGTATACAGTCAATTTTGGCTCAGTTGACTGGAAAATTCATCTGTCAATCTTGTGCATTTGGGATCTTTTGAACTTGTTGAACATGTCAAGACAATGCTATTGAGTCCTTGAGTCCACATGTGAGCTTGGTTTGCCATTGGCTAGGTCAAACAGTCAAAAATTGCCTTTGTGTAGTCAAAACCCTAAAAATGACCATTTTGCCCTTTTGGTGATCTGATCAAATTTCTTGTGGAATTGTGATCCAAACTTGACCAAATGGTTCATATGAGTTCATAATGTTGATGTGGATCAAATTTCATGAGGTTTGACTGTCAATTGACCACAATTGACTTTTTCCCCAATACAGTTGATTTCTAGGTCAACTGTCCAATTGACTGGGCAAAGATTGGAATCAAGGCTTGAAACTTGGTATGGATAAACTTGGGAGTCCAATATGAAGCATGAAAGTCATCTTAGGCATTTTAGGTCAAAACATCTCTGTGCAAACTCAAACCCTAATTTGGGTCAACAGTGCAAGGAGGAGCAGAGCAGAGCAAACCCTAACTGGATCTTGAGCTCCAAGGGTCTTGTGGTGAGAAAATATTGAGGAAATGGGAGGACAAATTTTGGGGTACAACATGAGGGAAGGCAAATTAGTGGAGAGAGACACGTTCATTGTTGGTTAGCATGAGGCAGAAAGAAAATTATTTTCTTCTTTCTTTGAGAGGAGCTCTAAGCTCTAGAATTGTAATAATGATTTCATTCTCATTTCAATTAATAACATGATTCAGTATTTCACTAACCCTCTATTCTACTCTGCTCTATCAAAAACCATAATAAATATCACCCTCTTTAAATCATTTGATTTTAGATCTTCAAAAACATTGAGAATCATTAATCCTAAGAAAAACTAAAGATCCATAATAATTTTTGACCTAACAACGACCTCATCAATAGAAAGAGCGCTAAGGTTGGATATAGAGTCAAAAGAACTCGCCACTTTTCTTAGGAAATCAATTTGAAAGTCAAGGTTGTCAAAAACATTTTTATTTGAAACTTTTACACCCCTTTAAAAAATGTGAGTTTGCCTTTAACAACAAATTCTTTCCAACCAGAGAATATGACATCATTCTAATTGGTATAACTACCTCTATAGAGTCACCATGAGAATGCCATTGATTATTAAATCTAAAAGTCTTGAGACCCCATGATTAATTAGAATATTTAATGATGATCGGACAATGATATGAGATATTTCTAGAAAGAGCTTACTAAGAAGCCACGTCCCACAAATTCCACCAACCATCGGACACCAGAATCTTATCCCGTCTACTAACAATACTCTCATTAGACTAAAACCAAGTAAAACTCCCATCTTAAAGAACGAGAGATCAACCAACTTGAGAGATGAAATTGTTAAAGGCGAAGCAATTCACACTAGCAGTGCTACTAGAAAAACCAACGCTCTCACTGAAAGCACAAACAAAATTATAATCCCCTAAGACACATTTCATAGTGTGTTACTTATATTAGCCAGCCTTGTCTAAGTTAAATGTTTATAAATATAGTACTTCTCTTTCACTTTTCAAAGAATCATCCAAATTGACAAGAATTTATCTTTTCTACGCATACAAAACATAGAAATGAAATAAAGAAGGTCCACATAGCCCTATATATGGATTTGATAAAAAGAATTTTGAGATAAGGTAGTCAAGTTAATAATTTATTATCAACAATGAATTTTAGTAATTTAACAGTTGATTAGTGTCATAATATATTAGTATATAATTATATTATTTTATATATAAATTTAAATTTTGTAGTTATGTAGTCAAATGATTGATACTTATGTTTTTTACATACTTATTATTTATATAAAATTATTTAATAAAGTAGCTCCAAAGAATATTTATTGCATTTTCAATATTTCATTGAAAAATAAGGATGAATTCTTTTGGATTTTTCAATTTTAAAAAATCACTTTATAAAAAGTAGCTCCAAAGAAAAGACTATCAATTTTTTTATTGACACATCAAATTTGTTTTTGATTGATAATAGGTTGAATACTTTTCCAAGTTGTCTTATTTATTTTAAAAACATTTTGAAATTTATTATATGAAATGACAATGAGTTTTTATTGGTTGTTAACTGTATACAATAAATTTACTATCAAAAAAGATTACACTGAGAAATACAACTGCACTAGCTCTTATGAGTTTTAAAGAAGATTTGATTTTTTTTTATTTAGAAGAATTCTATCACACCCTTTAAATTTTGTTAGATAAAATACTTTAATAATATAATTCAATTTAAATTTTAAATTAATTAATTTAATTTAATATAAACAGATATGACATGGATTGTTTAGATGTTAGGAGCCATACCAACAAAATTGAAAGGGTGGAGTGTTCACCTCACTCTCTTAATAAAGGAAAAGTCAACTATTTAGCGCAAATTTATACCAAATACATTGCATATATTCATGGCTATTAGTGTTCCTAGATGATTGAGGTTAGGGATTTTGCAAGGGATTTCAGCGGATGTTTTTTCTAATGGGATTTGTTTTTGCAACTTGTGTATCTAGAACTGTCTATGGTTGATATATGGCAAAAAGATGTATCTATAAATTTTGTTGGTAAGTTTAATTAAGGAAACTTTGTTTAGACTGTATTAGAGTTCACCCAAGCTTCTTTGAGCCCAGGTGATCGGTAAGTATTCAAAAAGGTTAATATGTTGTAGTTAAACAAAAAGGCAAAAAAATGACTCAGTAACTATTGTACATAACGCCGCACCTAATTCTATCTCACCCTCGTAATATCATTTTCTTTCATTTTACTACTATTTTTGTTACTGTCTTAGTAATAATCGGTTACAGTTACTGATATTGCCAACCAACGACCCATACAGGTCAAAAAGTTCTCTGAAATTGGTTCAATGGATGAACAGTGGTTGAATTCAACTCAAAAGATGATGCCAGTGGCGAACCATCCTTGAGTTGATTATACCTTGCAATATCAAAATTGTGAAGTTTCATCAAGCGCTTCTGCTTAGTGCTGAAACGGCTCTGATAGAAACCTTCAAAGCAAGGTTCTTTGGATGTTCTCATGAAGAATGTGTAGCCAGCCATGAAGTACATTGATGTCACATAGAAGCATATGGGCTCCATTACATCCCAGTTAAGTTCCCAGAATGTGAGCCTCATGAATGCTGCTGTCTGTACCATCAGAAAACCGAGTCCGCCCCAGAGCTCACAGCGGACCTTTGCATCAGCTTTGTTGTCAATAGCTGCTTTCACTTTCTCCATTTCTTCAAGTTCTTTTGTTTCTGCATCGTTACGTTTTTTATTTGGTACAGGGAGTAGAGCCTGGATTGTTTTTGCTACCTGCATCACAAATTTGAGAGAGTTTGGGTAACAAAGCTCAATCTTTATTTGTTTTTATTCTCAACCAGTAAAACTTTGGCAATTATATTTGTATCCAAAAGATGCATAATAGAAAAGAATACTAAATCATTGTGTAACCTTTACACAACTTGGCTAGGATCAGACAAAGTGGCTTGAATAAAATAAAATAACAAACGTGTATATGATTAAAATAAAGGAGATAATCTAAAAGAATCCCTCATTCGGCAGATTGATTCTCTGCCGCTCCACCAAAGAGAAAACAAATCAAAAAATCAAATTTGCAAACAGAGAACAGATAGCAAGATAGAGAAAACATATAATAAAGTTACAGAATTCCAGGAAGTTGCCTCAGCTATATTCAGCTTGGTCAAAAAGACTCCATCATTACATTGCACCTTGTCACATAGCAAACGTGCAATGTAATTGACAAACACACCTTGTCACAAATCTATGACTTGAAGTAATATATACCTTGTCACAATTTTTTTTGTCATGCGACATTTATAATAAATAACATAAAAATAAATAAAAAAATTATGAATTTATCAACTGAGCTATCACTTTTGTCAACTAAAAAACAAGTATAACTATGTCAAATATCAACAAATTTTTTATAAATACGACTATAATTCTAGTAATTAATACTAAAATTTAATGAATATAAATTAGGTGCTACTTAATATCTATCTCAAAAACAGCTACGCAAATTTATTATAAAGAACACCTAATTATTTTTGACAAATCAATATAGTCAATTTCAAAAAATATTTAAATGAGTTATTTTATATATCATCTTATTTTCTTGTTGGCACAACTGTACAAGTTGATCTGCCTCTATATATTAATTAATGAATAAATGGACATCCACTTCCAAAAGAAACGAAATAAATAAAACTAATAAAGATTACACACGCGTTTTAAACTTAATAGTATAATAATAATAATAATAATGAAAATTAATTTGTATTCTTTATTTTGATTTCAACCTGAGTCACACACACTAAAAGAATATCATTTTCTATTTAACATCTATTATAAATTAATTTTTAAATGAATAATTCAAAAAAAAATCTAAAATTAAGCTAAAAAGTTTTAAAAATATCTCAAATGGTACGAATTATCAAACATTAATATTTTCAAAGCTATTTACAAATTAATATTACACTATAGGAAATTAATCTAGTATCCATTATTAATATAACTTTAGGTAAAAATATGTGTATATTAGATAAAAAATTATTCATAAATACTTAAAAAGAATTTTGACTAGATAAGCTTATTAAATATTCATATTATTATTTGAAAATAATTAGCTTTTTAAGTATAATTCAGATAAGATTGTAATAACTGCTCAATTATTTATTCTTCGCATACATTGAATAGTCTTTAAAAAAATTAAAATTATTTATTACCAAAAATTCAAATGTATATAAAATTATAATTTTTTATCTATATTTAAGACTAAACGAGTATTATTAATCCAAATTCATCTCCCTAAATCTAAAATCAATTTTTATAATTTATTTAAAAATTGATGTATCAAATCACTATATAGACAAGATATGAGTTGTTCAATTAACTAAAAAATAGTTCAATTTACTAATAATTGTTACCGAAAAATAAATAAAAAATAAAAAACTTTTGAACGAGTTTTGAGTAAAAAAATTATTTTTATCCATGGAAATTCCAATTGATGAGCTGGACAAAGTCAGGCTCCCAATTATCATGGATATGTATAAAATAAAAAATATTTTTTATATCTATAAAAAATAAATAAAATAAATAAAAATCCCCCTTAATGGAAGAAGGTGTGAAAGAGTAAGGGCTTTCGTCAGCCCTTAATTTACCATCTCAAACGGAGAATCCTTTACACGTTTTAGATCTCAGCAAACAACAAACTCTCAATTTCCTGTTCAAAAGTAAAAGAAAAAATAACCACAAAACCTCATCAGTTTTCAGCCATCTCAAATTCATCGCCTAAAATTAATCTTAACTAATCAACCAAAATTATGTGCCGATCGAAAGAAAGTTCTGAAACCTATCTTTGGATCTTAACAGTATTTTTCTCCATCATGTACCACTCTGTATCAGCCCACAAATTAATACACAACACAACCAACATATAAAATAAAACAAAAAACAAAATCGAAATAATAAAATTAAAATAAATTAAAAGTTAATTGAAAATAAAATTGAAATTTACCTGTTCAGGTTTCAGAAAAACGACGTCGCCTAAGATGATTACAGTTGCGGAATCATCCAGAATTTTCGCAATCTGCTTCGCTTGTTCTTGATCGGAACAATTCTCGCCGCACATTTGAATAAACTCCGAGTACGTCACGCAATTCTGCTGGATCTTCCTCAGCTTCGACTTCACCGCCTCAAGCTGCGCCGCTCTCAGCAATTTCCGAACACCTTGGACTTCCACCGCCGATTCCTCCTTCTCCGGCGGACTCAACCCGTCCAACCGGATCCGGTTCCTCGCAATGTCCATCTCCCGGAGTTTCTGGATCAGACTCTCCCCGGCAGGAGGCGGAGATCTGACCTCGGGTTGGAAACCGGCTCTCTTATGAAGAAACCTACGGAAAACACCGTCGTCTCCGGGCTCCGGGGCAATGTCGCGATTCGCGGCGGTGGAAGGGATCCGCGATTGAAAAGAAGACGATGAAATGCGACAATTTGAGAGAGATTGCGACGACATTTTTGTGATGTTTAAGAGGCGCTGAGTTAGGGTTTTCTTACACGCCATTGATAAAGCTTAAAGAATGAAAATTCTAGAGAGAGAATGAAAGTGCTCAATGGATTGTCTTGAAGTAAGAAAGATAGGAACGGTATTTATAATGTCCCATAAAAACGGAGAACACTCGTTAACCTTTTGTAAATCGCTCAATTATTTATTTTTTCTAATTTTATTATTATAAACAAATAATTGAGATAACGATTACCAAAAATACGTGAGAATTTGTACACAAAAACGATAAATCGAAATTAGGGTTCATGGGAATTAATTAATAACCGTACACGTGTACGTAGATGGTGAATAAAGACTCAGTCGATGACAGATTTTAACCGTGTGTAACATATGGATAAGTAAAGGTTAGTAAAATATAGCTGTTGTATTTTTGTAGATAATAATTTAGAATTATTTATTCTAAATTAAAATGAAAAGACAAATTTAAATAATTTTAATTTTGATTTTAAAGTTTGAGTCTAAATTGGGATGTGAGAGGAGGCTAGTTCTTGGGCTGGTTCTTAGCTGTGTGGGGTGCTGTTGACACGGTTGTAACCTGAACTAGTAGATTTTTATTTTTATTTTTGGTGAAGAAAAAAATAGGTGTGATCACTATCAAACTTTCTAAAATCAATAGAATAGAATTGTAATTAAAGAAGTAAGTGAAATGGATTGGTTAGAATACTAAAATTGGCATTCTTTGCATGAGGTATGGGAAGTAGGGGAATGAGAGAAGGGTTGGGACACCTAGATGGAATTTACAAAAATTACTATTTTGTTCTCTAAATTACATAGTGGACCATTTAATCATCAAATTTATAGAATAACAAATTTACTTTTTTTTTTGTTTGCTAATTTTATAAAAATAGTGCAAATTCACTAATGAAAATGAAATTTAGTAGGACCATTATAAGTTGGTGATATATTATTTGGGTAAATGTACACCTTTGGTTCCTCATATAAAATGACATGACATGTTAGTATTTCTTTTGGCATATAGTTAGTCATGTTACTCTCTTCACCCATTTCGTAAAGTTGGTCATGCTAGACCGGTCCTTCAAATTAGGAATACATTCCCTAGTTTTAACTTAGTCCACGGAAATATATATTTTTAGTTATATTTGAGAGTATAATTATAAATTGCAAATGTATATTATTTTCATTGAAAATTAGGTTATATTGTTTAATTTGAAGGTTAGAAGAAAAATCATCAAATAACTTTAAATAATAGTAGTACTTATTCTTCGAGCGATTATAGTGAGGAATAAGTTTTACGGATGAATTAAAAATATAATATATTTTCTATCTCACATTAATTATGAATTTAAAGTTTAATGAAATATAAGAAGGAGGGATGAATTGGATTTCAAGAATTAAATCTTTTTAAAACTTTCGAACATCAAATAATATTCATGCACAAAGTAAATAACAATAATAAGTGACATAAATATTTTTATCATGGTTCACTATTAACTAAATTAATTCAATCTATCTATCAGAGTGATTTCGCCTTATTGGACTTAATTCAATAATCAAATACTGTTTGATTACAACTACAAAGACAACATGTTAATGTCTTCTCAAGGAACCTGACTAAACACTTAGTCCATCAAGAAATTCAACCTCAATAACATTTGTTATTGACATCTCAAGGATTCTGACCAAGCCTGATCCCTCAGAAAAATTAACCTCAATAAAACATGTTATTGACATCTCAAGGAATTTGACCAAACCTGGTCCCTCAAGGAAATTAGCCTTAATAAGGTTAAGATTACAAAGTTTTGTGTATACAATATTGCTTCTTCATAAAGCTGTTTACACAGAGTTTTAAGCATAAAAGATAACACTTTAAGAGATACGAAATAACAGCTTTGAGTGTTTCTCTGTGTTGTCTTTGAAAATCTTCATAGCACATGCTCTTCTATTTTTGCTGATAATTGTTTTCAATCTTTGATTGCACCATCTTGAATTTCTTCTTTTAGATCCAAATGTATCTTCATTGTTTATCTTCATTGATCTTCTTCAATTCTTATTCTCTTGCATGTAAGTAATTTCTTCATGTTCAGTTATGCATGTGTATTTTGCAATAATCTTATTCACATGGACTCACTGTTGCTCTTTATGATTTTCACAAATGTTCTCTTTATGTGTGTGCTTCTTCTCCATGGAAACTTCGCTCTCCTTCTTTTTTGTATGTATTGTCAACATTGTTGTCACACACTCTTTTTCTCTCTCACTTCCAATCTTCCAAATTCTCTTTAAATAGATAAAGAAAATATATTTGTTGGAGAAAGAGAGATTAAGTATCCATACATCATATAGTTGTTTGAGGCGTTAGCTAGTAAGAGAGTAGAGTGGTTGTAGCAGCACTATGATGAGACGTGTGAATAGAACAATACAGTGTACAATCCTTTATCCTGATTTGCAGTGTAGTGGATGAGATGTTGAATTTTAGTCATGTAATGATGTGCATTTAATAATATTCCCACACTTATTCTCGTTACAAACATCATAAGTTAGAGGGTTCTGATAGAGTTTGGTGAAGCTTGATCAGAGGTCAGATGTATTCCCTTCTTCACACTTAATTTCTTTAATTCAAAGGCTTCTGATATTATATGATGAAGCTTGATAAGAGTAAGTTCCTCAGAGCTTGAGATATCAGAATTGTAGAAAGTTAGAGTCTATCTCAGATGGCTTCTGGATAGATTCATGTAGACGCATTAACTTGATAACCCATATTCCAGATTTGATTTACTGCTTCTTTAAGATCTTCTTTCAGACGTTATCCCTTTGAATAAGAGGCTTCTGATAAATAATGATAAATCTTGTTCAGAGTTCAAAGTCATTCTCTTACATCACATTATACTTTTTTCCGATAACGCCTATCTTCAGATTTCGTTGATCTACAGAATCAATGCATGCTTATCTCGGCATATGGAGCATTTAATCTTGACTACTTCAAAGTCAGAATTGGTTTCTTCCTTCTGCATATTGAACAACTGTTAGAGAACAAAATTATTCTTCATACAAGCGTACTTGTTATCATCAAAACTCTAAGGATTAGTTTATGAACTAAACTTGTTCCAATAATCTCCCCCTTTTTTATTATGACAATACCATGTATTTTTATGAACAATTTTCCTTTGATAAACTCGCTATAGTTAAAAACATCAGAGTTAAGTTTGTAAGTTCCCCCTGAGTTTAAAATTTATTAAAATTTTCAACTTCAACAGAATGAGGTAAGACTCTGACTCTGAAGGATCATAACCTGGAGCCAGTCCAAGCTCAAGAATCTAGTAATTTCTGACAAGTCGCTATAGACTCCAAGGTCAATTTTGTTTTGTTCTGGTCACATGAAGACTTAGCACAAAATTGCAAAACTCTGAATTTTTACAATTGATAATTCCTTTTGTAGCAAAGGAGTTTCAAATGGCATTGCAATGGCATTAACCATATCAAGAAGCTTTGCAACATATGTGTTGATGTTTTTCTCAAAAGACTTTTTTATGCTAGAAGTTCTCTCTAATGACTCATTCATAGATCTCTATAAAAGGAGATGAAGATTTGGAGAAATGAAAAAAATTACGCCTTGACAAGAAAAGAGAAGTTACTTTGTCAAAACAAAGAGTACAATCTAACTTAGAACCTCTTATTAATTGTACATTCTTAGAAATTCTTAAATCTTATAGTTTTCTGTATTGTATCTTGTTTACACCTCCGATTGCATGTCAAATATAAATATCAAACTCTCTATTATATATTTGCTAGATAGATTGTTAGAAGTGACTTTCTTGTGTACTTGAGAAGTGAAGTCTCTTTTGCTTGTGTGCTTGAGCATTTGGAAGTCTCTTGCTTGTATGCTTAAGCAAGGAAGACTCTAGCATGTGTGCTTGAGAAACTAGAAGAATCTTGCTTGTGTGCTTGAGTAGTGAAGTATCTTTCATCTGTGTTTGATAATTGAAGTCCCTTACTTGTGTGTTTGGGCATTGGAAGTTTCTTGCTTGTATTCTTGAGCAACTTGCAATCAAGTTTGGTTATAGTGGAAATCTCTTGGAAGTGCAAGGGGAATGTACTACTCTTGATTTGTAGGAGGAACCGAGATAATTTCTTGTGTATTGTCTTGCTCTCTTATTTATTTATGATCAACTTTATCAATTGCTATCACTATTAAACTCAGACTCAAATTTTGTCCTTGAGATCAGAATCTGATAAGATATTTATAAGAAAAAAAGGAGAAAAAGTCAACATAACTCAACCCTCTATTATGTTGTACTCACCTTCAAAGCCAACGTGGAAAATCCAAGTCATAAAAAAAAAAAGAAAAAAAATCTGCATGTAAGTGTCATGTCATATATTATGTTGACTGTTGTACCCCAAAATTTTCTCTCTCATTTATCAAGATTTTTCTCACAAGACTTCTTGGACTCAAGACAGGATTAAGGTTTGGTCAGCTTAAGACACCTCATCTTGCACTAATAACCCAAAATTAGGGTTTGATTTTTCACTAGGATTTTTGGACCACCAATGCTTCATGTGACTTTCATACACCATTTTGGACCCCTAAGGTTGCTCATGTTAAGTTTCAGGCTTTGAACCACATTTTTGATCAGTCAATTGGACAGTTGACCTAAAAATCAGCTGTATTGGGGGAAAAGTCAACCATGGCCAAATTACAGTCAAACTTCATAATTTTTTATCCATAACAACATTTTATACTCATATGTACCATTTTATCAAGTTTGGACCACAACACCTCAAGAAATTTGATCAAATCATCAAAAGGGTAAAATGGTCAAAATTAGGGTTTTGACTGTGGAAGGGCAATTTCTGATTTTTAACCTAGCCAATGACCAATTGAGTTAAAACATGGTTTCAAGGGTTCAATGGCATCATCTTGACCTAATTACATGGTTCAAAAGATCTCAAGTTCATTGGATTGACAGATGAATTTTGCAGTCAATTGATCAAAAGTCAACCGTACACTAAAAAGTCAAACTTTGACTTTTTGGTCAAAATCA